GTAATAATACAGGTGAACAAGTAAGTGTTACACTCACTGTACTACTATAAAAACATGTCACATGTTATAAACCTGGTAATAATACAGATGAACAAGTAAGTGTTACATTCACTGTACTACTATTTGTAATACTTACTTGTTCACCTGTATTATTACCAGGTTTATAACATGTGACATGTTTTTCTCACTGTACTACTATAAAAACATGTCACAAGTAAACACTTTTACTATGAGCAGCTTTCTTCAACAGATGCACAGACTTGTTCAGAAAAAAGTTACGTGTTTTTAAAATTGATGAACAGAAATAAGAAAGCAAATGGCCTAAAAATGAGAAATTATTAAATGACAATCACATCAGAAAGTTTTAAATGCTGCAATGAGATATTTAAGAAAATACTCTACTGGAAAAATGTTTATTGCAGTCCTTACTTTCCCAGACAAACTACCACAGTAAAGAAACTAGAACTTACAGCATCCACATTAGACTCTGGTGTAGTTCTGGATCTACTCCTTCTATGTCTTCTAGGGTGATGGGTTTATTAAGCAACATTTTGTAGAAGGGTAAGGTGAAGCCACCATCTATGTAGTGACCATGAAATACTGCCAGCCCCATGACTCGTCCCACAAAGTGAAAATATGAAAGATGCTCCTGAAATATGAAATCAACCAGACGTAATAAGAGTAGGCTAAAGACCTTAAAACAGATTTATCCAAAAAGGTCCAGTCTAGAATAGCATTAATTTTATATATGTTGTAAGTTGTGTTGTCTGTCAAGAGCGTTCGTCTGTCTCCCAGTTGAAAAGCTTTGCATGCAGGCAGAGTTCAACATTCACTTTTGAAATGACGGGAGAACGGGCATGAATAATGTTGATGCCAAATTTTATTTCGCAAGCAGGATATTCTACACAAAATAGTTAGGAATTAATCACGCCGTCATTAACGTTTTAAAATGTGACATAAGTTAAAGAATAAAAATGTAGATTTACCATATGTTATTGTTAAGTTGACTCTTAGCACAATGGTCAGTATAAGTAGCTCAAAGGTTTGGCTCTGAATGAAACCAAGAATGAAACCCAATTAAAATTTTTAAAGTCCATGAAAGAATTTAAATTGATAGATTAATTGAAATTTTTCCCATCATTGGGGACCGTTAATTTTGTCGGTAGTGCATATATAATGAATATTACTAATTTAAAATAATACAGAAAGCTTTACAACAATTACATAGAATCTACAGAAACAAAACAGCAAATACTTATTTATTAAAAATAACAGATTCCAACTCAGAGAAACTTGTATTCCAAGGTAGTATAGACTGCTCACAGACACCTGAAATTATCACCCAAAAATGTTTTGTATCTGGGGTATATTAATGACCAACACATTGTATGTACTCATGACCATAACCAGAACGAATATTTTACCAAGGTCAAACTGTGTTTGTGTGAATAAGAGTAGAAAGAAAAAACAACTGAGGTTATGACCTCATTATCCTCATAGCTAGTTGTGGCCCTTTATAGGATTTCAATCAAATAAACTTTTTTCTGAATGGACAAAATTAAGTTAAAAACACAAATAGCATTACCAGAAAAAAAAAACATATTCTACATACCTATTACTGAAAAACTGTTGTGTAAATGAGTTAAAGCCAACCAATATAAACAGATTACTTCTGAACTATTTGGTATGAGAGTTATCAAAGCATTTTGCTAACACCTGCATTTCTGGCTAAACCTAACTAAGCTTACTTAATGTGTTGTCATAAAAGAAGTTTTTAATCTTTTAAATACATGTAGCTTAACACAAAAACGTTTTCACAAATTAAAAGAATGTCTAAAGAAACTATAAAACAATTCTTAGAGATCTGTGGTTTATTTCTAACTCTTCTAAACTTCCCATTAGATACTGTTGTTCATCCATCCAGGAGTTCTGCCTTCTCACTTTCTCATAAAAATATAATATAATAGAACACTTGTTTCTGAATAACCATAAATAAATGAATAAAATCAAACACCAGTATGAGGTTTCCCAGATAAATACTGAACACACATCATGAATCTCATGCTGTATTGTGATCAATTTTTTAACAAGATTCACATTAGATTAATAGCTGTTAACACTATGTAACACGAAATTCAAAATGAAACTCACTGACGTAACAACTTACAAACACATTTAGTACACAACATCAACCATGCAGGATACAGAGATAATAATAATTTGGAACAGAAGCAAAAAAGAAAGTATTAAGACATAATACAGACTAGGAATTTTAATTACTTGTAGATTAATTTTTATTTCAGTTTGTCAAACAGAGAACGAAATTGTTTTTAAAATAACACCTACTGACTTCGACTAAATAGTGATCACACAAGCAGGCACTGAAACCAGGGACTTAAAACATTATCTCGTGCACAAACTGTATATACTTACTGGATTTACAGAAGAATCTGGGTTGATTTGTAGCGTGTAAATATCCTCTCTAGTGTACTGGAACAGTCCATAGTAGGGATTTAACATCTCGTGTGATAACAAGTACAGCCACTCCCTACAAAGTTTCATATAATAATCAAAACCAGAACTTGAGCGTAGAAGAAGAAACAACAATTATTTAGAACATTTTTTAAAATTTTGTGCTGACATCCTTTTTGTTGTACGTACAAGTTTTCCAATTCATAAAAAAGATTTATCATCAATCGTGCCATGCCTAAATTTTAATTCTTTTATTCTACATACTAACACCACTTTAACTACACTTCAATTTTTAAAACCATTTCACCTTGCTATTCCTCCATAATCCAGTCCTTCTTCTCCTCTGAACTTCACCATTAACCTCTTCCTCAAATCCTTGGGTCTCATCTTCATGATCAAACGATACGATTCCTGAAAAATAACATAATCCTCAGATATTATTTGTCAAGCCAGTATCATGATAACAGTGTTATAGTTCTAGAAATCTATTTGATCACGAGCATAAAACATAAATGAAAAACAATAGGACCGTGAGCACCAACAAACAAACCAACTCGTATTAAAAGGAACAACATGACACTTCTCTTATTAATGTAAAGAAATTATTGATTATTAAAAATCAGTTTCAGAGTAATTTGCAAAACAACCCCCCCCCCCAAAAAAAAACAACTTAATTCACTAATTCAAGGATGTCAAATAGCCTAGTATTTACTATCCTGGTAAACTACACATTTCAAATCTCTCTTTTTGTCTCCCACAAGTCACAACTCATGAGACGTTACACTACATGCAACATTTCAGATTTATCTTTTGTCTCCCACAAGTCACAACTCATGAGACATTACACAACATGCAACATTTCAGATTTATCTTTTGTCTCCCACAAGTCACAACTCATGAGACGTTACACTACATGCAACATTTCAGATTTATCTTTTGTCTCCCACAAGTCACAACTCATGAGACGTTACACAACATGCAACATTTCAGATTTATCTTTTGTCTCCCACAAGTCACAACTCATGAGACGTTACACACATGCAACATTTCAGATTTATCTTTTGTCTCCAACAAGTCAACATATAAAATGTTTCACTTCACTCAACTTGTAAACATAAATTATACATATTCTTTAAAACAATACTAGTGTACTTTTTTCATTAATGAAACTATGATAACAAAATCATTAAAATCCTATAAACCCTCTCCAAACTAAATGAACTTACAAACAATCAATAAAATCCTATAACAAACCCTCATAAACCCTCTCCAAAATAACTGAACTTAATTATAGGGAACCTTTCTTCGTCAGTTTGAAAGGAAGGAGTTCTTCATAAACTCTCTTCTCGGGTTTAATAGTATTTTTCGCACAGTTATTTTACATTTCTAGGCTTACAAACATTATTATAAATAAACAAATTCAGCATTAATTTGGTAAACTCTGACTTTTTTAATAAAAATCCTACAATGAATCAAAAACAAAGATTCTTAAAATTAACTTTCAATGTCATTGTATTTCCAGATGCATTTGCTGCAATAACCACAACTGGCTAACTTGTCTAACCACAACTGAATAATTTGTCTTTTATTAGATGCTTGTTTCAAACAGTTTACTTCTTCTGTCATAAAATATTATGTTAAGCCTTTTTTTTTAAGTTTCATTTTTAATCTTGTCTCTTAGAGATTTTTCAAGAATTAGAAGAATGTGTATATATTCATCATATCTGTTGTTGATGAGTTTAATATTCAACAACAGATATGATGAATATATACAGCGTATTAAACTCGTCAACAACAGATATGATGAATATATACAGCTGAGTTTAATACGCTGTATATATTCATCATATCTGTTGTTCACGAGTTGTTTCACTTAATCAAGAGCTCTTCAGATGTGGTTGAAATACTATTATTATACACTCTTCCAATTCCTGAGAAATCCTCAAGTGGACAGATTAAGAATGTAGTGTTAAAAAAAAGTTTAACACAATGTCCTATGATAAGTATAATAACTTTTCACCAATTTCTAAAAGGTGTTCATACCATAACAATGACTTTTGACTTTTTAGGAAACTACATGCTGATTAGTCAAGAGCTACCTCATAGGTCCAGCTTTATCAAACAATATTTGTCAAGTTTAACTTCATTGTACGATTAAATAATTACATTTGAACTTAATTATTTTCTTTCGGCTATCGTATTTCAATCTTAAATGATGAAATATTCTTTCCAAAATGTTGAGTTTTTGTAGAAAAACATAAACAATCATAATGTCCTGGGAATTTAAAGAAAAAAAAATTATGCGAAAAATTAACACTGGAGACAGCTTAACTCTGAATATGTTTTTAAATGGTACATTATTTGAACTAATACAGTTTTTCTTGTACATTTATAAACATTTATAAACATTCCAAAATTAAAGACAAAAGCTTTCTCGCAAAAATTCACAAGAAAACTTGTAGTGACAATGCATTAAAACAAAGATTTATTTAAGCCATATTTGGAATAACTACTCTGTCAGGCTTAATAAGTTCTACCAACTTTGAAAGATAAGTTACGAAGAACCCATGCTCTAATAATGAAGATAAGATACTGCATCAGAGAAAGGAAATTCTCATGACAAAATTGAGGAAAACAAAGATAACAGTATGTTTCACAAATATTTCATTCATGACTTTGACAGTAAAGGCATCATCGAGTACCTTACCGGCAATACCACGATAATGTTGAATAAAATATCTGTGAAATATACAATTTTATTTGTTTTCATCAATTTTATAATTATGGAGTTTCACTAAGTACAGACAGTTTCAACTATTAATTATATACAAAATCCGTATGCTTCTTCTGAGCTTAAGCTTTCGACATAAACAATTATTAAACTATTTTCAAGACTTATATTGTTGAATGTCTTAGTTTGAGGATAATTATTAAAACTATTAAACTATTATTAAACTATTTTCAAGACTTGTATTGTTGAATGTCTTAGTTTGAGGATAAAAAGTGAAGGCTAAACACTGAAATGTTGAGATAACTTGGACACGTTTCCAAAAATAATCGCCCGAGTTAATCTGGGTAAACCATTTATTCACATTATATCATGTATTACAATCAGTGTTCACTAGATGGCACTGGAAATGCTGTTTGTGCTGGCCTCTATAAGATCAATTCTCAATTATGTATCATAAACACTGGAGAAAAGTATTCCTAATTTTTACTGTAGTTTCAGTGTCTGTCACGTATAAATCCAAGTATGTAACATTTATTCATTTATCGTAAAAGAACTTTTGTATCATTAATATATAAGTACAAGCTATCAAAAAGCAAAATAAGAAAACCTGGCTTTTTTTTTTAGCTCATTTCCAAAAACAAACCTGACATGGCAAGGGTTAGACTAAACTACACATTAGACTAGACTAATAAACAACGGAGAAGGCTTAACGTAAAAAAAATAACCTCAAATATGTCCTCTCTCGATACTTCCATACGACAATGGCCCGACTGTGGCTGTAAGGTCTGGATTTCTTGTCTTAATGCGGTGACCTTATGTACAATGTCTCGTCTGTACTTTGGAAGGGGAGACTCACCATTATCGAGTATTGCATCTAACAGTGTAGAAGTTAAAATGTTACTGCTAGTAGAAGCAACCTGTCCAGCAGGAATGTTACTACCTTCCTCACCGTTTGTCACAGCTGGTGGTACACTTCTTCGTGTGCTGTGTAAAAATGCAGACAATTAATTAAATATGAATATCTGCACCAGTCAAGTCCCTCCACACTATAAAACCTTAATGTAGTATAATATTACTTAATAATCTTGTAAGTTACAGGACTAGAAGTAAAACATAAACTGTCAAATATAAACACAAAAACATTAGAACCAATGTAAACTAACAATACACACACAAAAACATTAGAACCAATGTAAACTAACAATACACACACACAAAAACATTAAAACCAATGTAAACTAACAATACACAACAAAAACATTAAAACCAATGTAAACTAACAATACACACACAAAAACATTAAAACCAATGTAAACTAACAATACACACACAAAAACATTAGAACCAATGTAAACTAACAATATACACACAAAAACATTAGAACCAATGTAAACT